GAAAAAACTGGATCTTGGTTAAGCAGCGCACTCTAGAAGACGCGGTGGGAACTATCGACCCCGAACGAAGTGGTGTTCTTAATAACAATAAAATTCTCTCTCAAATAAGCCCAAATTGAATGAATTTGGATAAGGGGTATGGAAGATACAGCAATTTTTAAAACTATTTTTTCACCAGCTTCCCCCACCCTTATTAGTGAAGATACGAAAAAAGCCTAGAGATGTGACCGAAGCCGAATAATTATTCGGTATTCGGCCTATTCGGCGTTATTTTTGCTATTCGATTTTATTTTTGCTATTCGATTTTCACACCGAATATTCCATGTTTGGATATTTTAGTGAATTTTTCAACATACATATGTTTAATTAATATCAATTCGAAAAAGAAAATGAAAATACAAACTTCTGGGTCCTTATTCTCAAGACAGGGTAGTTCTCATGATAACGAAAGGTTCTGTCTTCGTCACCCATATTTATATTTCCATAACACTGACAAAGACAGAGCAATTTTTCTCGTGAGAACGCTGTTCCCCGGTTTTGAGAATAGACATCATGGCGTTAAGGAATTCAACTTAACAAAGAATTTAGTGAAAAAATATTAGTATAGTAGAATAAGGGGTAGGAAAATCAATATTGGAAATCAATAAGTGGTAGTGTTACGGGTTCAAATTTCAATCCGATTATTGGATTGATTTCAATATAGTAAATAAATTCGTGATCAATATTATGCAATGAATTATTCTAAGTTGTTGACAGGTCTCCGTTTGCTAGAATATTATTATTATTGTAAACTAGGCTTAAGTGAATATGTACATTTAAAACATAAAACTCATCGGTTGCTCCATCTGTTGCCGCAAGCAAATAATTTTAAATGGTAAATTTCAACAATAAAATAGGATTTCTTCTTATAAACAAATATAGGAACCAAAAAAAAAAAAAAAATGAAACCTTACAATATTAGCGTATTTATGTGCAGTTTTCTGCTTTTATGATTTTTGTCTTTCACCAAAAATGTATTCAGTGACTTCCTAAAATTGTTGGTACCATCTGGTTAATTTTTGAAGGTAGATAATTGATTTATTGTTTTTGAGAAACCATGTTCAGGAGTTCTGGTTCTGATGAGCTGGGATCCTATGAAACAGGGCGGAACAATAGTTTGGATGTTTTAATTAAATAGGAAAGTTTACATTACTTTAGATTGAGTTCTACCATTGGTTCTACCAGTTCCATATTGACAAAGATGTCAATGACGTCTTGGGTAATTCAACTTAGGTCATTAGAATTCTCTCAATTGACAGGATTCTGGACTCGTGCTGGAGGGGATTCGTAACCTCTTTCTTTGAGAAGAAGATTCCTGACCAGGTGGTTGATTTTTCTTCTTGGCTCTGCCGATTTATTAAGTAGCCTGCTTTCACTTTAATTTTGGTAAATTAAGTTTCGTTTTGCGTTTCTTACGCTGTGCAACCATTCTGGCTTTATGCCGATTTAACATAATTAAAGTTAAAATTGACTGGTACGGCTACGATTTAACTTTCCACTCCAAGGTCATCCAACAACAAGGGTAAGATTTCTCAGTTTTCTTAGTATCTTTATGCTCCCTTCCTAAAACCATCCTTACTCAGAAAATGTAACTATTAACATTAATTGTCCTAACTTACCCCTTGTATGTTTTGTATCAGAAATCCTTTCTTATGCTTGATTCTCTTTAGGCCTGCTCATAACTGCTCACCAGTGTTGCCAAAGCTACCCCGTTCGGGGTAGATCTACCCCTTTCGAAAACAATCTCGCCCTTCCGCTCCCCTCAACTAAATCTACCCCGTTCTAAATACAATCTATGCTATAACACAAAAAGTATGCTTCTGCTTATCGCTAATTAAAAATACTTGATAAATCCAAATTATGAGAAGCAATTTACATATATTCATCTCAACTGTACCACAGACTGTACCTATGCAACAAGTTTTTTGTATACACCTAAGATAAAACTTCATTTAGAGATTCCTTCCAGTGTCTCCTTTGAATTTCTGTGATAATTGATGCTTGATGCAGAAAAATATGTAAAAACATTATAGTTATTTACCTAACCGCGTTAAAAACGCATGTGTTATAAAATTTAAGCTATATCATTAGCAAAGCAGTCTACTTTACCGCACATTATGCGGTGAAGTAACTATACCGCATACTTTGCAGTTTATTTTACCGCAGACTATGGGGTAAAGTAACTTTACCGCATAGTGTGCGGTAAAATGCCACTTTCCGCACGCTCGTAGGTGAAATTTTTGTTGCTACCCCGCACCGATTCTATTCTACCCCGCTATCTTGCCGTAATCTGCCCCAATGAAAAAAGCGCTTGTGGCACCACTGCTGCTCACACGTGCTCATAACTGCTTACATGTGCTCATAACTGCTTACACGTCCCTATAACTGATTGCACGTGTCTCTATTGGTTTTCATCTACCTCTATCTGCCTCTATCTGTTCTACCTACTTCTACTGGCTTATAGCTGCTTCCATCTGCTTGCTTATGACCGTCTAAGTAAGTACCCAAACCCAGTCCTGGTTTCGAGGCCTAGCTATACCACCCCCATTAGTGGCAAATTACAGGGTAGACTTCCCCTATGCTAGACCATCCTACGTTCTATCTTCTGGAAGGTAATGCTCGAGGTACTGTTGTAAGTTTTGGCAGTTTAAAGGAACAATTATTGGGTAAGCCACTTTTTATTATCAACAGTGGATTCTGATTCATGGGCAGCAATTTAAAGTATAGCCTAATTCCTGGATGAATAGAGGTATATTTAGTTTATAGGTTAGTTTCATTTATTAATAGGCCGTGGCTAAAGTAACAGAGGTGTTACTATAATTATTTTTTTAAAGTAACATCAGTTCAATGACGTCACTGATGTTACTTTTAATAGGGGTTATAGTAACAGAAGTGTTTACTCTAATTATTTTCTTGAAGTAACGTCAATATAGTAGCAATATATAGAAAAGAAAGGTAGGTACTTTCTTTAGCAATTTAAACTAAGTAAAGGTGATATTCAACAACATAACAATAATATTTTATTTTTTATAAACCAAAAATTTGAATCAACATATTGATAATACAAATCTTTTGTGAGAAAAACGGCGTCTCCATATTCCTATTCCTCACATGCCCTTACAAAGGAACGGGAGTGTAGGTATAGTTCTCTCCTGCAGGTTAAATTCGATTGTTTACCTTTTTATGAGTGTGCAAAGTGAAAATTCAGTTTTCCATTTTTAATCATTAGCGGTATAAAATAATGGCCATCAACTTCAAGCATTTTTTTTCAACAAATGAAGATAGGTAATTTCTTAATTTGGAGCTGAAACTATGATAATCTACAGCGAAAAAACTTCAGCCTAGGAAGGAAAATAATTTACTTTCCTCCATAAGGAGGCGAAATTACTATTTTCCTACCTGAAAAAAAGGTAACAAATTGTCACTTTCTGACAGTCATAAGAAAATGTGTTTTTCCTGCCTTGCCTATAATTGTGCCTGTTTTATAAGTATTCTATTCTTCAAAGTCAAGTCAGGTTATTTTTTATTTATTTCCATTTTTACTCTAAAACAAATTCCAAGAACCAAGAATATCACCTTTACTTTAAATTGCTAAAGAAAGTAATTACCTATCTACATATTGCTATATTGACGTTACTTCAAGAAAATAATTAAGTAACACCTCCGTTACTATTAACCCCTATTAAAAGTAACGTTTTCATCAGTGACAACATTGAATTGATGTTACTTTAAAAAAATAATTATAGTAACACCTCTGTTACTTTAGCCACGGCCTAATAATAAAACTTGACTTGGGTAAACAGATGGCCACTTTTAACATCAGCTGATGAATACTTATTAATTTAGAAATTAATGTAGGACACTTAGGACGCATTTAATTGTATTATAATTAGGATTATATTATGAAATAAAAGAACCCTCATATTAGTGTTTATTTTGAAAAACTTTCATTTTATTGAATTTCTTAACCCAATTTTCAGAGTGTCAACGTAAGGGCTTCTTATTCCTAGTGAGGTTTGGCTAGGAGAGTACTTTAGCTGTTTCCTGTTTTGTATTTAAGAGCGCATACTTTCTTTCTGGAGGGCTAAAACAGGTAGCGTCCTATATTATTTATAATCCACGACCACTCTACTGAAGAGTTAGCTGGCTGCCCTATAAGGAAGTCCTCCAGTATAGTAGCATTACTAGCATTTCGTTGGCCGCCTTTCTATTATAGTAGTTCCAGACTGTCAATAGTCTGGGCAAATGGAGATCAAATCTATGTCACAAGCTTTAGTTATTTATTTTAAGGGAAATCAATTGGTTACAGGGAGATATGTTTTTGTTTATAGATAACAAATTCTCTTGTGAACAAATTCTTGTGTTAAATGCTTGTGACTAAATTTTAATAAAGTTTCTTATGACAGTAGAAGGTTATGATGAAAGACCAAATGCTCCGCTCTAGGTAATAAGGTAATAACCGATTCCTTTTATTCTCGTACAGGTTTCGAGCTTCTGAGAATTGTCGCTCACTCTAAACGGTACTTGAAGCCTGAAGGAGCTTATAAATAGACCTTTCCAAGCTATCTCATTTTTTGATATTTTAAACAGCATTTCTTCCACCAAGAAAACGTGTTTAAAACTTCATCTGTTAAATAAGCCTCTAACTCAATTGCAATATCGTGTTAGGGATTGGGGTGATCTAACATCTAAATCCACTTTGACCCGATTTCCAATGATTGTGAATTCACAAAACAGACTCAGATAATACTTTTAAATAATTTTTTAAATTTATTACATCAATGTATCTAGTGACAGGAAGTATATTATTTCAAAATCTCGGCAAGTTGGCATTGGTTTTTGTTAATGATAGAAGCTTTGTAATTTGATTGCGTTTTCTCTTTGCTATTTATTAGCTTGTTTTCTTATCAATGGTTTTTTTTATTTAGCATGTAAATGTAATTTGCTCTTTACTATTTCAGATTTGGCACTAACGTAGACCTCAGTGACGAGCGAAAATGGCGGCCTCAGTTGCAAGAATTGATGAAGTTACCTGCCTTTGCGCGAGTGGTTTCTGCAGCCAATATGTTGTCGCATGTGGGTCACGTGATACTTGGAATGAACACTGTTCAATTATACATGAAGGTACCTGGCAGTCGCACACCTGGTCATCAAGAAAACAATAACTTCTGCTCGATAAATGTCAATATTGGACCTGGAGACTGTGAATGGTTTGCAGTTCCTGATTCGTACTGGGGAGCCATATGCAAATTATGTGAACAAAATCAAATTAACTACCTTCATGGCTCTTGGTGGCCAGTACTTGAAGATCTCTACAAAGCCAACATACCAGTTTACAGATTCCTTCAAAGACCTGGTGATTTGGTTTGGGTAAATGCTGGCTGCGTTCATTGGGTACAAGCTGTAGGATGGTGCAATAACATCGCCTGGAATGTTGGTCCACTGACTGCCAGGCAGTATCAGTTAGCCATAGAAAGATATGAGTGGAACAAACTTCAAAGTTTCAAAAGTATAGTACCTATGTTGCATCTTTCATGGAATCTGGCAAGAAATATCAAAGTTTCTGACACAAAGTTATTCGATTTAATCAAGTAAGTTTGATAATCAAATATTTATGTTGTTTTTATTACATCTAAGATTGATACGTCTTTGAATTTATATCGTCAAAGTTTTGAATCTCTTGAAAATTGTAGGTACCACAATTGACATCGGTCTAGGGAAAATAGTAGGTTAGGGGGTCGCGCAATATTTCTTATTCTCATCTTCACCAGCCATTCTGTTGTCCATTGCAGGACATGAGCCTCTTTTAATGTAGCCTTTTCCATGCCTTTCAATCCTGATTTAATTCTTGCCAATGGTTACGCGCTTTATTCCTGACATTTGCTGATCTTCCCACACTTTTTTTGTTGTCTCCCTAGGATCAGCCTCTCACCAGCTCTTCTCGCTCTGCCTTGCCACATGACCTAGCCATTGCCACTTAAGTTGTGCGTTGTGCGACGCGATCCATTATTCTTTTTTGGTCTCGTCAGAAGGACATAGGCTTATGTTGCAATAAATAGAACAATAAAATTATTTTGCGATAAGCCTATGTCTGTAGATGGCTTGTTGTATTGATGTGTGCCGGGTGTTGTTATGAACCGGCAACACCGTAGTGCAGATTTTTGTCAGCAAGTCAAAGATTTTGTTGTCTTGTCAGTTAAGTCAGTTGGCGGCAGATACACATTCCATTCTCTTGTAACCTAAAATTTTGTACTTTGTTTAAATAATTTATAATAAACGAATAATAATATAAGATATAACAACGAGTTGAGTCGAATTATTCCACTAAAAATCCATCCCGTAACAGCTTATAAGCCCTCTATTCGAGCAATATTGAATATTTTTGACAAGCTAGAAACAACTACTCAGAAGGCAAATACCCCTACCGGCATTGGATTACACTAACTGGTCCAAATTTCTGTTGGCAATGTAAGTTGTAGAAAAGGTTTAGCCAATGGCAACACACCCTTTGTGATACCTTGTTGAAAAGATGATATATCAATTGCTTCTTTTTCGCGCCAATGTAATTTCGTTACACAATGATAAGTGGGTATATGGGCAGTGTATGGAATGTCACCAAAACTTACGTTATGTCTGCACATATAACAGGGGGTTAACAGCTGTCATTTCGACATATTAATTTAAGAAATATTTCTTCTCTTCTGACTAGTCCTAACCCTAACCTTTTGAGTTTTTCCCAGACGATATCTCGGTAATTGAACAGTATTCCAGATTTTTAGGAGGGCAGATTGTATTAAGTGACCCATTCAGTATCTCATACAGGATCGGGCTACAAAAGCCTTTTACCTAAACAATATACATAAAGGTAATGTTGTTTATTGTCAATTTTTACTATCCTTCTCGTTTGGGTCAGTAATTACTCAGATGAAAACCCGAGTAAAAACCATATTCAGATTACTGCAATGCCATGTGTTTTAAAAGCTCCAAGTTTGAAACAGTTCTTCGGAAGTAGAATTGTTCTAAGATGCCTTTTATATTCTATGTTTAAATAATTTTGACTTATTATTTTCAGGAATTGTTTGCTTAGGACATTAATCAAATGCTCCAGAATATTGGAATTTGTCAAAGATAGAGGAGTTGAAGTCAAGTTTCATGGAAGGGGAAAGAACGAAGCGTCGCATTACTGTGGACAGTGTGAAGTAAGTATTTTCTAATTTACCTATTCAATCCTGTAAAGTTCCTTCAGAAATTCACTGTTCGACTTTTGTAGCAGGCGGCGGTCATTAATCTTGAATTATCAAGGGTCGACTATAACGGGTCTTAAAAAAAAAGCTAAATCAAAGAGTGCTTTAATTTAAAGACGTATGTCGGGTCCGTTCAAATAATTAATCTCACAGTAACATATTTTTGGCATTATTGTTTCTTTATTTGCCAGAAGTTTTTCGCTTCCGAAAATGGTGTTTTTGATAGAAGAGAAAAACAGAATAGTGGAAATCTTCTTCAGAAATGGTCAAAAAGTATCAGTAGTAGTCAGAAAGTAAATAGTGACTGGGAAGGGTATACTCTGTAGCTGATGCTTACACCGAGTTTTTGGAACCTCTTTCCTAATCACTATGGAATAACCTTGCAACAATTTTATCAAGAAATAACTCACTCAGTTGGGTTATTGCGGGAGTTTGGGAGTGTAAAAAGAAAGGAAGGAAGCGGAAGGCCATGAAAGCGAGCCCCTGAAGTCATTGAAAAGGTGAGGAACATAGAACATAATGTAGGAAAATCCAAAGACATCAAATTCACAGTTACAACAAGCTCATTTATCTAGTGGAACTTGTCAGACAATTTTAAGAAAGGATTCGCATTATTATCCATACCAAGTGACTCGTGTGCAAGATTTTTAGGATTTGATGTCGACCTGCTAGTAAATGTATGGTGAGGTAGTTCGAAACAATGCAGTTGATTATAACTATTGGATGTCGATAATTTAAGTTCAGATTTGGAAGCAGAGCATTGTGGTTATAGCATTCTACAGGTCACTAAATTGCACAAAAAGTAGTTTTTTAACGTACTTGGAAGAAATACTTAACGAGGATATTTTCCAAAAACAGAAGACAGTGCTTATGATGGGGGGTGTCAACATAGACTGGTTGAGAAATCACAGTGATGCAAAAAAGGTGAAAGCAATTATCATATGTGAATCTGGCTTTAAACAAATTACTACAAAGGAAACACGAGTCACAAATATATCGGCGTCATTGATAGATTACATAATCAGAAATGATTTTAATGTTACAGAATTACCCAGAGATTTTCCGATAATGAGTGAACATGAAATAATCGGTGTAATGGTAACGCTTCCTCATGAAACACACAGATCGCAAACGTTGTATAGTAGAAATCTTAATGACCAGAGTATTTCTGATATATCTGTAGACCTGATTGGGAAAGAATGGAACTATAATTATGTTGACGTAGACGTTCTATACGTGGATTTTATAAGGAATATCCAGGAGGCCTTGACGAATAAGGCAGCTCCCTTAAAAGCTAGAACTATACGTAAAACTCCTTGGGTAACAGTTGGTATTAGAGAAGCACAGCACAAAAGGAATAACGCGTACAGAAACTTTTGTACAAAGCAAACAGAAATAATGTGGTGACAATGATTCGTAACCAAAAAAAAAATATTATGAAAGTATTGAAAACGCACCTACTAAAACTATTACAAATTTGCAAAAGCTGACAATAAGTGCGTGTTTTCATTTAGAGAGTTTTCCTTTTTATTTATTCCTTCAAAAAGGACTATGAATTTTTCAAAAGTAATGGTGCAGAAAATTCTATATTAGTGGCTTTATCAATCATGCCGATTTCGGAAATTAGTGGAAGAGCCATTGGGCGAAGTACAAAAAGACCTTCTGGGCCGAATGGCATACAACATTTCATCTTCGAGGAACTGCAATGTAACCTTTCAGAATTTATTCACTGCTTTTTTCGCCCATTTTCAGAAGAATAAAACGATGCTATTAACCAACGTTGATTGTTTACCTATTTTAAATGTCAAATCAATAGTCGGGAATCTGAGGTGCTGAATTCGACCACCTCTATACAAGTCGCGAACATCCACCTAAAAAACATGTAATCCTATGTAAAATGACCTGTCGGATTCGAATTTCTTGTTCGCCCTTTGATCCGGAATTGCGAAATGTGTCAAAACATGACATTTTTGAAAAAACTGAAAATTTCCATTGAAATAAATTTTTTTGAAAACTAGTGCATAACTTTGTTAATTGATGTCCGATTGTTATGAATTTTGGATATGATATTTTTCAGTACTTCCCTGACATAGTTTCATAACAATAAAAAACATAGAACGTCACATAAAAGCTACGTAATTTTTTTTTCGTCAGATGACACAAAATATCGTCATTTTGCAGCGTTAAATGGTGAGTCGAGAAAACTTTTTTATCTTTAGAGATAGATACCAAGTATAAGCGAGAAAAATGTTGCCAATGGAGTAAAGAAACTTTTTTACTAAAACTTTTTTTCCATACGACGTTTAGTTTGGGCTGTATTCTTTTTTAAAAACCGAAGAAAATTGAATGGCCGCGTCTCAACTCTCGGCATTGCCGGTGAGCGCGATCTTAGGACGCGGTGCAGCGAATCAGTGTGTCAGAGGGAGTTAACACCACAGCTTTCTTCATACGTGCAACAAAGACACGCATTACGATATTGTTATAATATTGTAGAGATTATAGGGGAATGGGGGATTTATGGGTTTGGTTGGGTTGGGAAACAATATGAATAGGAAAAATATTAATAATAATTTTTTTTACAAGTATATAAAACAATATTATCATTACCCAATCAAAATATTTATTTTACAATGCATTTTCTCTCAGACAAACACTGGCAAAAAAGGAAAAAAAAAAAAAAAAAACGTCACATAAAAGGTATAAAAATTCCATTTATTTATTTATTAAATATTACCAAATATGGAATCTATTTTTAGGGAATCCAATTAATGTCATTAAAAAAATAATAACAAGAAGATTTCTTTTTTAAAACAAAGCATCAGGCTCAATTCAAAATTTTGTAGTAAACGGCTAATTCAAGGCTAATTCCACATGTTTTGGTGTTTTCATTCCAATTAATACAAATAAAAAGTCTTGACAAATATCCAAAACCTTTCCTTCAAGCTTCTCTTCCAACAGAACTTTTCAATCTTTGTCAAAATTTACTTCTTTTTCACTAGTTTCTAAGTAAGCATGCACGAAAAAGGTTGTATAATGACTTTGGTATGATATTGGGATGCACATTCTTCAGTAATTTTCAAAGTGTCTTGCTGCACACAATTTGCAATAATCCGCCCTTAAATATTAAACATTTGATTGTAGTTTATAAGGAGAATTGCCTCCATTGAAAAATGTGGCGTCAGCGTCAGAATTTGAAGAACTTGAATTGCTTACAGCGTCTTATTTATTGATAATTACTTTAGTAGAGCAAAGATAACTTGAAAGTTTTCCATCTCGGAGAACAGCCATAATTGTTCTCTTAAAAAGACTTTGCAGGTTATTGATAACTCTTCTGACGATGGATATTGTGCAGTTCACTCAACGTTCCATAACTTTGCTTCCTTGCTTCCCTATGTAGGATGATTTCTATTGTGAAGACCCAATTTTCTATAAATAGGGCATTTTCTATATAAGATTGAATTTCAAGAAACATAGTTCCAAACGAAAGTACTTCAGATTCTTGTAGGGAATTTACTTCTGATTTTGATTTTTGGAATAGTTTCAAGAAACTCAGACTATGATACGATTGATATGCAGATTCGTGAGCAATCATGTAAATACAATTATTACCAAATCCTTGAATTCAATGCAAAAGTTGATGGTTGTTTTTGCCATGTTCCATATTTCATTTGGCTTATCAAATGTCAGTATTTGCTTGAGTCTTCTCAAACCCCTACTATTGCGAATTTTATTGCATATTATGCAAATCTTTGAATAAGAGGATTTAATTCGCTTACTAGTACATTTTGAAGCACCTTCTTCTGGTTCAGGTCTTTTCTTGTAGGCTTTCCTGGTATAAGCTTGTCTACATTTAGAATTTAGGGTGATAAACAGGATTTAATGATAAAAACAGTTCTTTTTTGTCAGCATAGTAGGTATCTAACGGCCAACTTCATAATAGAGAATTAAAAGTTACTTTAGCTAAATAGACTTTTAGGATAGGATTTTTCAACTTTAAATGGAAAGTTTACTTTAAGTTGATTATGAAATTGGCCGTAAGAGCTATGGAATAACGATCACCTTTCTGAATGACAATGACAATACATGCTTGAAACAGGAAATGTAGGTACGGCTTCTTTTGTGACACTCTGTACCGTTTCCTAATTATTTGATTGACACAAAATACACTCGTTGAAATTGATATTTTGACTTATGATAGGTAGGTACTTCATGTCTTTTACAATAACAAACATAAGCGGGTGAAAAACAAAATGAAATTCAAAAGGAACGCTTCTGCCGTCGGCGTCGTCGCGTTATCTTTGTTGCACATATGAAGAAGGCTGTGGTGTTAACTCTTTTTGACACACTGATCGCTTTATCCGCGTCACCGGGTCCTGAGACCGCGCTCACCGGCAATGCCGTGAGTTGAGACGCGGCGATTCAATTTTCTTCGGTTTTTAAAAAAGAATACTCCTCAAACTAAACGTCGTATGGAAAAAAAGTTTTGGTAAAAAAGTTTCTTTACTCTATTGGTAACATTTTTCTCACTTATACTAGGTATCTATCTCTAAAGATAAAAAAGTTTTCTCGACTCACCATTTAACGCTGCAAAATGACGATATTTTGTGTCATCTGGCGAAAAAAAAATTACGTAGCTTTTATGTGACGTTCTATGTTTTTTATTGTTATGAAACTATGTCAGAGAAGTACTGAAAAATATCATATCCAAAATTCATAACAATCGGACTTCAATTAACAAAGTTATGCACTAGTTTTCAAAAAAAATTATTTCAATGGAAATTTTCAGTCTTTTCAAAAATGTCATGTTTTGACACATTTCGCAATTCCGGATCAAAGGGCGAACAAGAAATTCGAATCCGGCAGGTCATTTTACATAGGATTTCATGTTTTTTAGGTGGATGTTCGCGACTTGTATAGAGCATCTTTAAAAGGCTTCCTAGGAGGCGTCAGATGCC